GTTAGTACCTTCATTTGCTCATTTTATTTTGTATTTTCTCCATATCAGACGGAACTGAACGACGCCCATTAGCCAAGGTGCTCGGTATAAACCACATGATTGTGGTCCGCTATAAACCTGCAATATTTTTCTGAAAACCGCACAGAACTGTGATGTACGTTGCGCAAAATGTTCGGAACGAGGAAGGCTTTCAGGAATTGTTATTCTGAGATTAACTTATGTTTTGAAACAGGTTGCAATTCAGCGATTATCATATCATAACTTCGTGTAAACAGCTATCTGCGCCAATGATCATCAGTTCACGTCTCATGATTAGTGTGTCAAAAGCGTGAAAGTTGAATTTATTATTATGATCAATGGCCCACTCATCTTGAGGAATCTTTTGTTTGACAAAGCAAAACATGCACAGTCCTATTTAACACTTCAAAAACACTTCAAGTGGAAACCACAAAAACATTGATTTGACTGTTCGGTTTCCAACATGTTCATCTCAATGCCTAACGTATTCCAACTGTATTCATTCGACTGAATCTCCTCTATCGGATTCGTATAGGTAAAATCAGTATTGTACCAGAGTCTCACGTCTTTCAGCTTTTATAGCCTCTACAATTTTACAATGCATGCCATTGTTATCAACTTTTTCGGTGCTCGTTGTGATTACTTACTCGTTTGCAAGATGTTCTGCTACCGAAAATACAGGAACCATTAACGATGAGATGGAATGGGACAATAAGCAATGTTTGCAAAATAAGTTTTTTTATGTAATGATTGATTTAATTTCCTCATCCTGTGCGCCAAACAATGTAATAATCATCGAAAAATTGAATAAGAATCCAATGATTCTTTTCTCTTAGAAAACTTGGATAGTTTCCGTTATTCATCACTTGCCACTGATTTTGTTTCACACCTGTTGCAAAAAAGCCAATTGCAAATATCTTGAAAATATCTCGTAAAAACGCCGAGAAAAATGAAATAAAAGAAAGGTAACCAAAAAGACGGCAAAGTGATTTTAATAAAGCACCCGCAGTTCTCTGATTTGCCATAGAGTCAAAAATGAACATTTTCATATATTTTTTCCTTCGTTGTTGAATTTCAAAGGATTTGAAAACAATTTTCGAACGGTTAGGTGACAGCATAGAATCCCCAAAGGTGGCAAGTTGTGTATTTGCCTTTTAAAGGCGGGGGAAAGTAGATGGTATCTGGAGTATACTTGTTTCAGTAATGAAGATTTTATACAATACTGTTATGGCATTTTTTTATTTCACCAAGCTAACAAATAACACAAGCTGTAATTGAAACAGTTAAAAGTTTAGTTTGATGGTATAGATGAGTGAGTGTATATGAGCTTAACATATGCGAACCAGGTGCCAACCAATATGTACTGTAAACTATTATGGACATTTCAAAATGCCTTCCGAAAAAATAACTCTGTGAAGATGATTCCATGGGAAGGCATGGCACTCTAAAATATAAAAACATGAAAATAAAGATGTACCCTCCGTAAAAGAAACCAACAAGAGATAAATCTCTTTTGAAGAAGAAATATATCAATAGCAGAGTTTTAAAAGGAAATTCGATTTAACTATTGCCTTCCTTTGCGATCACCTCATCCTTCAGCATGTAAGCAGCACTGTTTTTTCCCGCTGGCTCGTCTTTGTTGCTGTCCGGGAACCACTGCGTCCTGCGTTACTTGACCGACAAAACAGCCACAGCTACAACTACGACCATTCCAAATACTCTAGCACCTGCCACACCACCTATCAGAACTGCATGCACACCCTGCTTGGGCTTTGCAAAGACAAACAAGAATAAGTGACATTCCTTGAAGAC